TACTCACTTCCTGATTGGATAGGCCAAAAAGAGTATAAGCTTTATATGTCCCACCGAAATAGTCTTCCCAAAAAGTATTGCCCTCCCACCAATCAACATGGAACCTGACGCAGGTTTGGACCATTTTCCTTTTGAAGGGACCGGGTGCCGTCATGTTCCATGTTAATTGGCAAAGTCCAGGCATCTGTAGGAATCGGCCGCCAGGTTTGAGAAACACCAACTTAGCTCAGGTAGTGGATAATCCTCACTTCCTGCAAAATCTACCTCCCCCATTCTTTCCAGGGATCCGTCTTTCTAGAAAAGCTCCAGAAACCCGGGAAAAAACGGCTGGTTTTCGAAAAGAACGATGGCTGGAAAGAATGGAAGAGGACTCAACCCCTAGAAATTCAGGAAATGGCGCCATCCTCACGTAGAGAGGTTAGAACAAGTTGGTACCGTCTTTTTTTCGGTTTTGTCTATTTTAGTAGGGGAACCGAATCTCCCACCAAAAAAGGAAACGGTTGAGAAGGGCACCGGGGGACCGAGTCACCCAGACTCCAGACTCCAGACTCCGGCCTCCGTTTCGCCGTGCGAGGGGAACAGCAGCTCCGAGCCTGCCACGCGCCACGGGCCGCCGTCGGCGTCCAGATTCCTCGGCAGGCTCTGGATGTGTTCTCTGTTCTTCAAGGGGAACCAATTGGAAAACGATAATTTTGGGGTCTAGGGTTCGGGTTGAACTAGTTCAAAGTGAGAGGACAAGATTCTCGTTGAACAGCTTTCTGTGACATATTTCAATCTTTAATCTTCAATCCAGTGGTAAAATGGGTTCGAGGTTTTAGAACAGCTTGAAAGTTTGTCGAGGTTGGCCAGGATTGACGATTCTCTGGAAAGTTGTTTGTGCAATCTTCAATTGTGAATCCTCGATCCAGTGGTAAAGCGCTTTCGAACGCTAGACCCCCCCCCACTTTCAAACAAACTTTCAAGTGGTTCTAAAACCTCGAACTCAGTTTACCACTGGATTCAACGAGAATCTTGTCCTCTCACTTTGAACTAGTTCAACCTAAGTGCTAGAAGAACTTGAATGTTGTTTGGCTTTGGCCAGGATTGACGATTCTCAGGAAACTTGTCTGTGTAATCTTCAATCTTCAATCCAGTGATAAAATACTTTCAAGTGCTTAGCGATCCAGAGGAAACGCTTTCAAGTTATTACACAAACTTTCAAGTGCCCTTATGCTTCATGCAAGCTATGCTCATGTTGACCCTTTTCCAGGAGGCAAAGCTAGGTGTAATGCTGAAAACACTGTATGTTACTGTATTGTATGAAGAGCCGCAGGATCATGAGGGGTACTAGATGTTTGTATGTGTGTATATAAATATGTAGATATATACATATGTTCACACACACCGTCACCTTTTCCTGAATTCCCTGTCCACTTCTTCTCATCTACTACCTCCGCTTTTTGAGCTAGAAGGAATTATGAGTTGCTGTCAAACTAAGACTTCAAATTCAACAGATTTAGCTAGAATCCCTGTTTCAAGATAGTTTTAGAATTTGAACCTCTGATCCCTTGAAATCTCCACTTTGGAACACCGTCTAACAAGTTTAATTTCGGACCTTTCTTATGCTACAAAAGGGGCCATAATATAAAGAACACAAATCGTATTTCGACTTTCCTTGTAGACGTTCCATAAATGTTTAGCCGTATTTAACATGAATGATATTTGAGAATCTGATTCTATTTAACTGTTATCAAACGCTAACTGAATTATATTTGTATTAGGCTATACTTAACATTTAAATCTATATTTGGCAATACATTAGTCTATTTTTGTTACTCAATATTAGTCGGATTTCCCCGAAATTATATTTACATTTTGATATACCTCCTATTTGGAAAGGAAATGTTTATGTAAGTGATATTTGAACATAATGAGGCTTTGGGGTTCGAAATTGGACATTTCGAGAATTTAAATTTCTAGATTCTTGATTTATCATCACTAAAAGGCACTCAAACCTGTGTCCTTGGGGGGTTGCATACATATATATATATATATATATATGTATTTGTGCGTACATATATATATATATATAATCATGGAAATTGACCGTTTGGCCCATGACGCATGACAATCGTACCACGAGAAACTGAGAGGGGGACTACTACCCAAACGGATGCCCATCAACCTCGCAAAGCCGACAGACAGCGGCCCACCCAAACTCAGATACATCTATATATATATATACATATACATTAGCTACCCCCCCCCCCCCCCAAAACCCAGGTTTTGAACCTGGACAATTGCCAAAATCACTGGGAACAATGTTACTTTTGAGAAACATGTGTATGTTCGCCTCTGCGAAACGCATATTTTTGGAGTTCAAGCAGTAAATGTTGGCAAGTTCAGTTAGTTAGTCAAACAAACAGTCAGCAAGTCAGCTAATTAGTCAGTCAAATAGTTGTACTGACTTAGCTCTAAAGCCAGTTAGCTAGTTAATTGGCTAATCAGTTAGTTATTTTTGTTGCTGCCTAGTTAATTAGATAATACTGAAGGTATTCCCCTAATATTCCCCTTCCTTTACTAGTGAAGTATTTGGGGAACACTAGCAGGGTAGTGAGGAAACACTAGGGGTATACCAAGAGAATACTAAAGGAATACTAGGGGAATACTAGGGCAATACTAGGGCAATACTAGGTGAATACTCAGAGAATACTAGGGCTATATTAAACGTGAATACTATGACAATACATGGGAATACTGAGGGAATACTAGGGGTATACCAAGATAATATTTAAGGAATACCAGGGCAATACTAAAGGTATTCCCCTAGTAATTCCATCCCTTTACTAGGGGAAATAGCAAGGGAATACTATGGGGTAGTGAGGAAATACTGGGGTATACCAAGAGACTACTAAATTGCCTGAGTGCTCGGGCAACAATAGGGAAATACTAGGGCAATCATAGGGCAATACTAAGGAAATACTCAGGGAATACTAGGGCAATATTAAAGGTGAACACTAGGAGAATACTAGGGGAATTCTGAGGGAATTAGGGGTATACCAAGATAATATTTAAGGAATACTAGGGCAATACTGAAGGTATTCCCTAGTATTCCCCTTCCCTTACTAGGTAATACTCGGGGCATACCAAGAGAATACTAAAGGAATACTAGAGCAATACTAGGGAAATACTCAAGGAAGACTAGGGGAATACTAAAGGAGCATAGTAGGAGAATGCTAGGGGAATGCTGAGGGAATACGAGGGGGTATACTCAAGCTCAATTTGTTTGACCTCTCAGGTTTTTTGGCTAGGGCACTGGGGAATAATCAGAAAATACTAGGGGAGTAATAAAGGTGACAACTAGGGGAAAACTGCAAAAAATGAAAAAAAGAAGAAAACAACTGAAAACAACGAGGATTCAGGGTACATGCCTGGGGGGGGCCACCATGTCCCCCTGAATCCCTAGTTGTTCAGTTGTTTCAGTTGTTTTTCCAGTTTTTTCAGCTTCCAAAGCGCTTCCTTGAAGAGATGCCCTTACGCAATCATAGGGCTGGTTGCAGCATTGGCTGCCAAATGAGAGGCTTTTGACAGATGCAAACAATGGGCCTGAAAAGTGTGTGGTCTGGCAGATGCAGGTTTTGGTGACAAAGCACTGTAAATACCAGTGCTTTGTCACAAAACCTCTTTTTCTTGGGGGGTACCATACATTACTTTTACATATACACATGTATACTAATATATGCAGCCTTGCAGCAACTCTTTACCACCAAATTTGCCCAAATTTACCCCCAATTTATTGACAGAGCAAGGCCCGGACGAAAAATATATAGGTCCACCCACCCTGTCCGAGATGCCACATCTGCTGCGGCTCATAGTGAAACGCCGGCGTTTGCCTCGCCTGCGGCCGTTGCCGTCTTGGTTGGCGTTGGAAGGGAGCAAAAATTGAAAAACAAATAGCAGTTCAGGGGGGATTTCAACCACTCAACCACAAGAAGCAAAAATGTAAAAGGTTTAACCATGCGTTGTCTTTGGTTTCAGGTGGGCTTGGCTGGCTGATTGGGCAACAAGAATCCACAGAAGCCAGACATGGCAGTGGCGCCAAAAGAAGTGCAACAATGGCACCTTGGCAAATGTAACCAAAGAAGACCTTCATCCTCTTTTTATTTCTGAATTGGTAAGCTTGCTGAGTTGGAATTCACGTCCTCTGGCCATGCACATCAAAGGGGTTTCCGATGCCAAGGTCCTCCAGAGTCCGGCCGACGAAGCCCATGCGGCAAAAAGGGTAGATGCGGTTGGCTCATGCCCTTCGAAGCAAAACAACCTCGAACATCCGGTCACAATTAATCTTCCATTTGCTTAAGCCCCCTGGATTTTTGCTTTTTAAAGAAAAACTCCAGTAGTCATAGATGCCCTCTAAAACCAACAGGGGAAGATAAACAAATATTCTTAAGCAAATGGAAGCAATCCGGTCAGACTTTTTCTTTTCAGGTACCTGGGTCCAGAGATCAAACCGCCCTTCCGCAAGCTTCCGCCTGCTTTGTCTGAAGCAGCGCGCAGCTTACAGCCCCTGGCAAAAAGGTGCGAGTTTGGGTCCCTCCACTCAGAAGTTGCTTCAAAGACTGGGGTGCGGAGGAATGGCACGGGTGAAGCTCAGCGTTTGGATTTCGTTTGCTTTGGCTTGCTTGTCCAAAGCGAATTCACCTTGTTGACCTTTCTGGGATTTACAACTTTCAGTTGCTTAAGAGTTTTTATTTTAAACTATTATTTTCCCTGCTGGTTTTAAAGGGCAACTTTCACTACTGGAAATATGTTTGTGTTTCCATCCTTGGGCTCAAGCAAATGGATGTAGAAGTTTGGTCCATTAGCCAAAGCTCAACAGGTGATCAGTGATCAGTTTCCAGGTCCTTTGGGCAAGCAAGTTGGTGTCCACCACAGTTGGGTATATTGTGTATTTGTTTCTTCCTGCGCTGATCTATTGCCTTGTGGGATAGTAACTAGTAGTTGTCCCTTAAAGCGTGTACATCAGGGGTTCCTACTTCAGGATCACCATTTGGTAGCAATAGATGTCTCTAGATTGTTAGGGTACCAACAACCTCAAGAAAAGAGTTGACACATGTTCAACTATATTCAATCCTCCGTACTCAGATGGGTCTGTCTTTTTGTGCGGGTACCTGTTTTTTGGGGTTTAAGAATAAAAGCCAAAAGGGAATCCAACCGTTTTGGGGGTTCCCCCGAAAAATAACACACTAGGAAGTCGGGGAAATGCAGGAATGTGATTCCGCTCCGGGCACGCTGACATTGAAGAGTTGGAACTTCCAAAGTGGTGACAACCCAAACGAATTTGGAGGTCCACAGGTCCCAGTTAAAACTCGTACCCAAAACTTGTCCACCCCAAAACTACGACAGAGTTCTTGGAGACCCAAAAAGCGTTGGGTGCTTTCAAGGCACGAGGGTGAGCCAGCAAAAGTGGAAGGCCAGTGGGATTGATGAGGAACATTACAAGGTGAAGAATGGAGAACCTCATGAAACTTGTGCTCCTGGATGATCCCCATGTTGCATAAAAGTTGAGTGAGCAATGGATGATCGTAGGACGATGTGAACCAGCCAATGCTTTCATACCATCATTGGGATCGGTTCAAAAGGGGACGCCTGACCATAGAAGCGCACATACGAAAGCCAATGACTTTATATACCGGGCGAAAGTGAAAGCATGATGTTGAACACATGCTTTTGAGTAAAGGGAACTAAGCCAAAGTGGGGGACTTGGGCCATCTACAGCTAAGCAGGAGAATCTGTGCGGGATGCATGTCCCCGGTTTTGATCTTTCTGCCATCGTCTCTTCACCAAGCATCCATCCGTTTGTGAAAGCAAAGCCAACGGGGTACAGTATCACATCCCGTGATCCTCCCATTCCATCGTGTGATACATGTAAGCTCCGCTTCTCTCAAGTTAGAATATGGCTGCGGCTCAAAAAACCGGTACCACAATGGAACCCTGGTAAGTGGAAACATGGACCAAAACCTGCGGTTTGCCCCTGCTGCTTAATTTTGAGCCACACCCATATAGCTCCCATTCTCACGCAAAACTGATCACGTCAACCCATGTGGGCCCAACCGAAACTGAGACTCGGGAAAGGGCCGTGATCGTGACTCACATTGCGAGACTTGGTCTGCGGAGGGAAACAATGAAAGCATCTGGGAAAAAAGGAAGCACCCACAGGAAGTCTGGGCAACATATTGACGGTGGCTATAAGAAATATGCTATGATTTGCAAAGAACCAGCCGGGGAATCACACTTGATTGCATTGTTTTTTGGCAGTGGACTTTGAAGAGATGAACCCTCCTCCCCCAAAGCAGGAAGATACCTCAGGGTCAAAGTAAATAGTACAATTCCCCATTTCAGTTCAGTCATCCCTTTACTTGCCCACATCAAGGGAATTGCGCCATCTACCTTGCGTGATGCAACGTCGGTCTCAACCTTGGCATGCTGGGGTGCTTTTTGCCCATGTCTTTGGTCTTGATATGTTTTTTGCTGCTTTCGTATTCCTTCTGCCTCTAGAAACACCCCTCACCAACATGGAAGTGCACAAAGCCAGGGGTCCGTGCACATCCACATGTTGGTCGCTGGGGTAGATATGGGGGTTAGTCAATATTCCCGGCCACCAGTTCTGACCATGAGGAACTTTTCCCACATGGTTGACAAATACATCTTGGTGGTTTCCACCCAATGGTCATCCCAGGTAAAGTAAAGGACCTTTTGATCGACCCCCCAAAAAACGGCCCAGACCATCGCTTATTGTTCACCCCTAGTTTACCCCGCTTAGGACTTAGTGGGTTGTCACCTACTAGGTCCTCCAGTAGAGAGGTTAGAATAAGGGCACCCTTTTTTCTGTGGCCTATTTTAGAATAAGGAACCCTCCCCCGAAAAGGGGTAAAACAGCACAGGGGGACCGAGCGCCTAGCTTAGCAACTTACCGAGTTGGCCGAACACCCGCTGCTCTGTTGTACCAAGTACATACTAGTGTGGCTCAAAATCAAGCAGCTGGGGTTACGCAGGTTTTAGTCTTTGTTTCCATTTACCAAGGTGCCATTTTCTCGGTTGCTTTCTGCTCCCCTGCTAAAAGTGAATAACTTTTAGTGGCTTACGGAAAACCCATGAGTTGGCAAAAAGTTGTGTCCTAACATCCCTTGACAAAATGCACCAAAAGTGTTGGTGATGTTGACCCACGATTAATAAACCCGTCCCACTGGGGGGGTGCTCCCTCCCAAAGTGGTCTGAATCCCCACTAAACGGGGACACCCCCCAATCAAAATCAACCCCCCAATCAAAATCAACCAGGCGTTCTACTTAGATCCGGGGTTAACATTACAGTTTTTGACCCACAGCCTACTGGGGCCCAACCGCCGGCCTGAGCTCCAGGCCTGAGCCGTCCCAAGCATCGCCGCGGCCGCCAGCATCGCGCGCATCGTTTCGGGGCCGGCGAATCGGCGCGCGGGCGCAAATCGGCGTGGAGAAGTGGGTCGTTTGGGCTTGGGTTCCATGGAACACGTGTCCAGCAACTAACCCTTTAGATATTGTGATTCGGGCACGAGCCTGTGCCCGGGCAATGGGTTAGTTGGGGTAAACAAGCCACAAAAGAAAGGTTCCCCAAAAGCAAACCAATCCCCGGTCCCAAAGATCAGGGTTTCCCACACACCAGAGAACAACAACCAAAAGGAAACAAACCAAAAGAGAAAAGGGTTAACCCGCAACCTTGGTCGACAACAGGCCGCACGACTGGTCCCTACCAACCTGGCGGCGGCCCGAGGTCTCTTTCTCCCCCGAGATGCCGTCGGTCGACGCAGGGGTTCGGCGACGCCCATTCGAGGCGCGACGGAACCCAAAACTTGAGCCAAACACCACAGGTCAGTCACTACCGCGACATCCCTGGTGATGAAATAAACCATGGCTAATCACACCCCCCTCACGAGGAGCCCGTCATATGACGGGTGGAGCGTGCCATTTACTGATAGGATTTAACTGCTCGCATACGTCCGCAAACAGCTGGACACTACCGCCGTCAGCGGTGGAGCAAACCCACAAAGGCAGTCGCGCGACATCCCGGGCATTAAATTCCCGCCACCACCCCGAATTAATCGGGGTAACGCTGTCCAACATACCTTGTGGAAAAGTCCACATGACGACAATAGGTCACAACTGTTTGCATCAGAAATGCAAGAAGTTTAATTCTTATCAGAAGCCATGAAACAAAAGATAACGTATGTCCATTAGTACCCTCGCCTAACGGCAAGAGGTACTCCTGACCATGCGTACCTGAAAAATGCCTGAATTCCGCAAACCCGGGAGTAACCCCCCATCAGTTTGCTTTCCCTCTCACTCACACTGCTTCCGGATGAGCACGTCCAGCAGCTCAGCAGCGGTATGGGAGAGACATGACCTCCGCGCCTCAGCGGTCCGGGAGGAACATCGCCACCTCCGCACCGCGCCGACCATTGGAGAACGGACGCAAGCCTATCGGCCGCAATCCTCGTGACTCAGCCTACCGGCTATCGTCACGTCTCCTCCGGTCACGTCCGCCCCGCGCACGGTCCCTATCACGATCCCTTTCGGATCTCCTGCGATCATCTCGCCTTCGATCCCGCTCCCGATCGAGTGAATCATCATCACGACGATCACGAGCATCGTCCCTCCTCCTGTCGCGATCATCCTCGCGCCGCGGACGATATCTGCGCCTTCTCGACTCTCTGGAATCCCTGGTGTCCACGGTCCTAACGGACCTCCGAGAAGGAGTACGGGAAACATCCGACTCCCTACGCCTCCTCCCAGATTGAGAGTTCGTCACGATCTGGTTGAGAGCTTCCAGTGCCGACGCGTCCTCACCATTTCTGATGAAATCCCTAACCTGCTTGTTCAGCACTCTGTTGGTGGAGATCGTCAAGAAAGCGTCCACCACCGAACTCTCAGGCAGCACCAGGAAGTGACCCTCCACCGGGCTCGCCGCGGCCCGCTCAGCAGACTGCAGCCGGATCTCCCCGCCTTCAGGCTTCTTTGCCATCGCCTTGGAGGCAGTCAAAGGCGCTACCGCGTCCTTTGCCGAAGATCTGCCAAGCGCGGAGTGAAGATCATCCCCGCTAGCCTCTCTCGCTGCCGCACCTGGTCTGCTGTCGACGTCGCCAGGCCTCGTGGATGCCTCCCGCTTTGTCGACTCTTTCGCAGCCTCGTCGGGATCCCAACGGGACTTCCTTTCTCTCTTCTGCCCTTCGGCCGACCCGCGGCTACCGCCGGGAGCGTCACCTCCGCCTGTCTTCTCCTTCTTGACCTCAACCTTCGGTTCGGCCTGCTTCGTCTCCTTAGCCACAGCTTTTGGAGCCGGAGCACTCCTCGCCTCAGATGCCGAAGCAGCCTTCCCTTTCGGCTCTGCCTTAGGAACCGGGGTCACTTTAGCCTTGGCACTCGGCCTGGCCCCTTCAACCACCATCTCGGCCCAAGACTTCTTCGGCTGAGCTGCTGCTGCATCAACCTCCATAGGAGCAGGTCCAGCGTCATCCTTCGCCTTTGGGACGGATGGGCTACCGCCCTTACCGGATCCTTTACCCGGCACTTCACCTGACTTTGGTGGCGGGCCGGAAGGACTACCGCCCTTACCGCCCTTTTCCCCCTTTTTCCCTTTTCCTTTTCCGCCCTTGGGGACCGGCTCCTGCTTGGGACCAGGACCCGGCGCAGCATGATGCACCGATTGGAGTCCCTCGATGTCCACGTTCAAAGGTTCGGGTTGACGACCGTCAAGAACCGTCCTCACCCTTTCGTCACTAACGTAGACGAACGGGTCACGGAAGGGTGCGGGAGGCTCCGACTGTCCGGCGCTGATCGCCTTCTGCACCTTGGCTATCGCCTCCTTCAACCTCTTCTTCTCATCATACCCTGTCTCCGATACCATGTACTCCCTGAGCTGCGACATCAACGCATGACTCTCCAGGATGTCCACGTCCTTTCGATGGGTCGGGTACAATGGGGTCAGATGACCAGCCGCAGAACCAATCACGTATGCCATCGGAATATAGAATGACAAGTATGTGTCATGACGAGCGAACTTCCTAACGGAAGTCGTCATACGCCTACCCCACTGAGCAGCGTGTCTTGGGTTGGCCCGGAAGTACTCCGTGACCGACTCAAATCTATCGACTTGGTTGGTCTTGATCAGGTGTTTCGCCACCCACTTCTCCACAAACGCATCCGAGGCCGAAATCCCGGACACATAGGAGAATTGGAAGAGCACCTTCGCCAGCTCATCCCACGCCGCATCGACACCTCCCTTGTCTTCACCAAGATAAGGGGGAAGTCTGATGCCGCTCTGCACCGTCATCCTTAGATCGGATGCCATTGAATAGGAAATCAAATTCCTTTTGATGACTCCGACCACTTCGGAGGGAATCCTCCTGGGCTTGAACTGCCCCATGGTCCTCACCCACTCCGGCACGATGTGGCACGTTTCGAAGTCCTTTTCCTCCGCGTTGGGGATAAAGTTCGGGTAAAAGACCGGGAGCGCGCACCCGGGACACAAGTGCATCCCATTCGGCATCAATTCTGCGCACCTCAAGCAGAACGTGGCAGTCACATTCAGCCTGATCTCTTCCCGTGATCGCTTGTGCTCTCCCCTAACGGGGGTGAAGTCACCGTAGTCCCATGCCCGATGGTACACTATCGTGTAATCATCGTACATATACGCCGCCTTCCAAGCCCCCATGTGGATCTCGTTCCTAACGGCAAGAGTCTTCCTTCTCGTCAAAAACACGGGTCCAACCAAGGACCAGTGCACCCGAAGATCCACCATTACCACCACGTACCTACCGGAGTAGTTCCGCAGCCTGTCCCTGACATACCACGAAGGCGATACCTCAGCATCCGGCGCCATGGCTCCCACAAGTGGGATCAGGCCCTCATCCTGCCTACCATCCCCAATGGTCTCGTACACATCGGGCCTCGTGATCAATATCTCGATCATGGCCTTTCCATTTCGCCTCACCCTTTGGAGCTGAACCGCCTTCCGAAAGTCCGAGAACTTCATGATGACGTATCCCACCATGGGGAGTTCATTCCAATGCATCTCATACATCAGAGATCCGCCAGGTGCATCTTCCTGAGTATACCTGTGCCTAACGGCACTGTAACTCAAGTCGCGTCCGATCCGCGTGTGCCTAACGGCAACCAACCTGGTGCTCTCCTTGAGGAGAACGCCATCCCCGTCGTACATGACCATGAGCATCGCCTCCACTTGCCCTATCGGGAAAGCTTTAAGCGTCGGAATGAAGAACTTCCAAGACATCTCAGCGTTCTCCATGCCCGAAATCTCCTTCAGGAACCAGATGGCCTGGTCACTTTTCACCCAGTTTCCAGCCTCACGTCCGGTCTCCTTCAGCACACGTTCCTCGAATAACTCCGAGACTCTCTTTGAATTGATGACCAAGCCGTCGAAATCGCACGAGAGCAGTCTCATCAACTCCTTCGCCGCCTCCCGTCCTGCAACAGTGCCCACTGTCTCCTCGTAGTTCGGGAGGTATTCACCCAACCTCGTCTTCGAGGGAACCACAATCTGGCAAGTGACGGCCTCATCAGGGATAACTCCCGTTTCCCTTAGCTCCGGATTGATCTCTCGCCTATCGGCAAGATAATCCTCCTTCCCATCCAGTATCACAAGGTTGTAGGTCATCTTGCTCGCCGCCCCACTAGGCCTGAACTTCCTGCTATCATCTAGCTGGTCAGGAGCAAAGGGTCCACTAGGGGCAGCTGGCGCTCCTCGCCCAGAGCAGAGGTGCTTCTTGTGGAAGTTCACCATCTGATTCAGCTGCGATAGTGCGTAGGCACGATCCTCCAATGACGCACTCTTCATCCCAGCCTCAGTCAGAGGAGCCTCAGGCTTGTCATAACTCGCCTTACCGCCCCATCTCGCCGCGACCAGCTCAGCAGACTTCACAGGGTCGATCAAATTCCCCGACCATCCAGGCATATTGCTCAACCTCCTAGTCAACGCGTCTACCGACGCAGCCAAGTCTTCGTCCGTCACGGTGTAAGGGTCGACATTCTCCCTGTCGTCCTGACCCACGTCCGGAAGCCTATAGTCCCCGCGGATGGCCTCCATCGCGGTCCTCTCGGCTTCCTCAGCCTCCTCTTGCGTGGCCACAGCTCTAGGAATCAGGAGCGCGACCTCAGCCGGCAACGACTTCTCCATGTTGATTGGAGTATTCTTGGGAAGGATTCTTCGATCATCTCCCTCCCCGCTGTACACGTATTCCCGAGCAGCCTTTCGGTACTCCTCAGCGGTAGCCCCTCTGTAGTTGGAGGCCTTGCTCGGGCCTTCCTTCCCAGCCTCGGTACCCCGAGGCGTGGACTCCTTCGTCTCGGCGGAGCCCTTCTTGGAGCCTTCCTGATCCACGTCCATGTCGTCCTTCTTCTTCTCCGTCACGGACAGCTTCCCAATGTCAGGAAGGGTCACATCATCATCCTTTCCTGACCCGGCGCCCCTA